AAAAAAAAAAAAAAAATGGCCACATTCTTTCCATCTTTTTTTTTTTTGTGTTTGAATTTTAAAATGGTTTGAAATAATTCCATACTTGTAGCAATAAAATCCTATTATTCCTCCTCTAAGTGATAAATCATTGATATTTCTTATATATTTTTAAAATAAATTTGATCGTTCTTAAATGGAGTTGATTAATTGCGTCAGCTAATTATTAATCCTCCTTATATATTATTCCCGAATGCGCTGAGTCTACGTGTCTGTTTCTGGTGCTCCGCAATCCTACTTGGCAAATAATCATATTTCGTAATTAGGTTTGGATAAATTTTAATTTACTTTGACTCCAAAAATAATTAGGTTCGGATTATCCATATATATGTTGATTATTTATGGTTATGTTACATGTATTAATTGCATTTTAATATCATTTCTTATTATAAAAAAAATTGAATTATTAATATATTTTAAAAGTTAATAATTTTTGTATTTTTTATCAGTTTTACATATATAATATATCAAATCAATCGTCTCTTGATGAGTTTCGATTTAACATCCATATTGTATGTACAAAAAAATAAATTATATTTATCTTTATAACCATAATAAAATTATTTTTGAATATTAATTAGAAAAATAAAATTATTTATCAATTAATATATTTGTAGTCAAGTATTTATATGACATAAGTTATTAAAATCTCCTCCCCCTATATATTAATTCAGAACGTGCTGAGCCTAAGTGACAGATTCGCATGCTTCGGAATCTTATGTGTCAAAATTACATGCCTTGTTATTAGGCTTGGATAAATTTTAATTTTCTTTTAATCCAAAAATAATTAGGTTCGGATTACCATAAATATGTTGATTTATTTACGATCATTTTAGATGTATTAATAATATTTTAATATCATTTCTTATTATAAATATATTGAATTGTAAATTTATTTTAGAATTTGTTAACTTTTATATTTTTTATCGGTTTTACATATATAATATATCAAATTTATTATTTTTTATATGAGTTTTTTTTATGAGTTTCGATTTGACATCTATATTGTATATATATAATATATATAATATTTATCTTTATAATAATAATAAAAATATTCATTAAAATTAATTAGTAAAATAAAATTATTTCTCGATTAATATATTTAAGTTTACTGTAGTTATATCCTATAAGTTAAAAAATTTATTATAATATAACAATGTATGTCGCACAAATAACAAGTGTCATACTAAAATATATTATAATATATATTTCTTTATAAAAATATTTAATTTTCAACAATTCTCATTAATTTTAAATTGTAAGAAAAAAATTTAAAAAGCACCCGTGTAATACACAAGATTTGTATTAGTTCAATAAATAATCCAAAATTGGTTAAGTCGGATCCTAACCTACCCCATATCCAGCTTCTTCTCATCTTCTATTAGAGACCACTTACATATACACACAACTTTTAAGTGTTACCCATCGCCCATCACATAGCAACTAACAATTTGCATCACCACCAATATTTAGAACTTCAAAACAATATTATACATGTATATGATCACATGAGCTGCTACAGAACACAACAATAAACAATCAACATTGACACTAACAAATGACAATTGCAAATAAACATCTTCAGAAAACACAGGAAGGATCTTCAAACACCAAAGCCTCTCACTTTACCCATCAAAAGTTCAATCCTCAGGAGGAAAAATAGACAGCCTAAACCCATTCCCTCCCCCACTTCCCTTCACCTCCTGAATCCTCCTAGCCGAAGCAGCTGCCGATGCAGTCGTGCAGTACAAGTCGATCGTCTGCAGGCTCGAAACATCCGCCAAACCCAACGGTATCCCCGCCAGGCTCCCACAGTGCCTCACGTACAGGCTCTTGAGCCTCGGGAAGTGAACTCCCGACGCATGCCAGCTCACCAGATTCAACCGTCCGATCTGCAGGAACCTCAGTGCCCGAAAACCCCCGTCTTGGGCACTCCACGTCTCCCCCTCGAAAGCATTGTCCTTGAGCTTCAGCGTTACGAGATTCTCCAGCATCCCGATCGTCGACATGTCCTTCCAGTCGAGCAGCGTGTCCGAAAGCGTGAGCTTCCTCAGCTTGGGCGGGAACTTGTACGTCCCGGGCAGGCCCGTCAGCCTCGCCTCGGACGGCGGGCGAGGGAACGCGTCGTTCGAGAGCTTAAGGCTCTCGAGATGGCCGAGCTTCCCAAGGCTGTCGAACGGCGTGGCCCCACCGACTCCTCTGGTCTCCAGGAGCTTCGACAGCTGGCCGCAGATGCCGAGGGACTTCAGGCTTGGTGCCCGAGCAAACACGTCGTCCGTGCAGCTGTCGGGTGATATTGTGGAGAGTGTCTGCAGGCCCCCGACCATTATCGTGTCTTTTCCCTTTCTTGACTTTGAGAGTGGGCCCGGGAGGGACGTGGATGCATTTGTCTTCACATGCCTCAGCTGAATCATTTTCCACAGGTCGAACTTCACCTCGAGCGTGCGGGAGGAAGTGTGAACGATGAGGGTCTGGAGGTTCCAGAGGGACGAGAAGGTCAAGGGCAAAATCTTGGCGCTGATCGAGAGGACCAGAAGCCTGAGGTGGACCAGCTGGGTGAGGTCGGTTGGGAAACGGGGGAAGATCAACGAGCGAGCGTCTAAAACGCGGAGCAGCTTGTAAGCCGTGGGGATGGAAGACGCATGCACAGGGGGGAGAACAGTCTCCTCGGGGGAGAAGCAGAGGAAGGAGCGGATGTGCGGGCCCACGGGCCCCGACGAAATGTAGTCGAGCACGCGTGAATGAATGGATACGCGGCGGCAGTGGCGGACGTCGAGGGCTGGCCCGGAATCGAAACGCTTAATCTCTTGGAAGAGCTTCTCCTCCCCTGCCTCCTTCTTGCAGAAGTCACGGAGCACATCATGCACGCGGCACGTCTTGATTTTTCCGTTGGGTTTCAATCGTCCTACCATCACCAGGTTCCTACTTACGAGATCCTCTAGGTATTCCTCCCCGATATCCTCCAGGACCATGTCCTAAAAGTTTTTTAAAATAAAGAGATCATAGTTTTACCCTCGATGTAAACAGGCTAGCCAAATTCAAGAAAGCCCAACACGCACACACACATACACACACGCACACACACATGTATTATACAAAATTAATTAAAATGCGGCTAGAAACTCGTGCTCACCTCGTTCTCCTGCACGAAACCCTCAGCAATCCACAGGCGTAAAAGCCTCCACACGGGGATCTCAAAATCTTCCGGAAACATCCCAAAGTAGAGGAAGCAAGCTTTGAGGTGGTAAGGCAGGTGGTTGTAACTCATATCTATGAAGCTGTCCACCCGTTTCTGCTCGTCCATGGCAATGAAGGCATCCACACTCTTAGCCACCCTCTCCCACCATTCAGTTCCCTTTTCGAGCAAAATACCCCCAATCACCACCACCGCCAGCGGGAGTCCCTTGCACTCGTCGGCAATGTGCCGCCCGTCCCTCACGAGCTCGTCCGGGCATTCCTCCGACCCGAGAGCCTTCATCCGGAGCAGCTGCCAGCTCTCGTCGGAAGTCAAGAACCGGAGGTTGTGAGGCTCGGAGCTCGGGTTGGCATGCTTTGCGACTTTTCTCATGCGACTCGTGATCAGTACCCGGCTGCCCCTGCTGTTCCTCGGGAAGGCGGGTTTGAGGTCGTTCCAGGCCTCCTCTGACCACACGTCGTCCAGGACAACCAGGTACTTATTCTGGTCGAGCGTGCGGTGGATCTCGGCCGCGAGCTGCTCGTCGTTCATTTTGTGCGTGGTGTCCGTGACGCGGGAGATGGCAGTGAGGATGGAGAGGAAGACTTCCCTCCTGCTGTAGTCCTGAGAGACGTAGGCCCACGCTCGGCTGTAGAACTCGTAACTGATATCACGGTCACGGTATATCATCTTGGCGAGGGTCGTCTTGCCGAGGCCAGGCATGCCGATGATCGAGACGACTTGGAGCTCGGCGGGACCCTCGGTGAGGAGTTTGATCACTTTGTTGGCTTCGTCCTCGAAACCGACCACATTGTCTTCCTCAACGATTGGAGGCTGTGAAAAAATTGAGGAGAGAGATTAAGCTAAGCTGACTTGTTGTGACCAGCACAGTTCCACCGGTTTTCACACACCACAGAAACTTACCAGTTTTGAGCCAAAAGGCTCGCACTAAGAAAACATTCAATATTACACACTCAAGACCAAAATGGTGATCACGACATACACTAAAATAATGCTATAAAAGAAAACGAGTGAGCAGGGGCGAAGCCAGAAATTTTGGTTGATGGGGTCGGGGGGTCTTACACGGTGTCTTATATAGATCCGCCCCTACTGCCGGGGTCTTATTATTTTTTTAATGGGGTCTTACACTGTGAAAAAATTTTGGTTGATGGGGTCTTACACTGTGAAAAAATTTTGGTTGATGGGGTCGGGGGGGTCTTACACGGTGTCTTATATAGATTCGCCCCCGCTGCCGGGGTCTTATTATTTTTTTAATGGGGTCTTACACTGTGAAATTGTGTTACGTACAAGTGGTTCAACACAAAGCGTCGGTGTCGGACGACCCCCACCAGTACATGTAGCTTCGCCACTGCGAGTGAGCGGACTCGGGCTCGTCGATCAAAGCTTGTTTAGTAATCGAGTCGGGTTCAACTTGGCTCGAAAACAATTGTTTTTTACATAACTTTATGTAGGTGAGTTCGAGCTCGATTACTGGCTCGCTTGCGAAATCAAGTTTAATTTTACCTTTTTAACCTTGGAGGCCTTGTCGGGTCCATCGTTGACCCCAACCCCGACACCGAGCCCGTGGCGCTTGTTGTCGTAGATCTCCTTGACCTTGTCCCGAATCCCCTTAATTTCCCTGGCAAGCTGCCTGAGCTTGGCCGGGTAGTCGAACATGTGCAGAGCCTTCTCGAATGCCTTGCGGGCCCTGTGCTCGGCCTTGTGGGCCACGAACGCGTCGACGGCATCCTCGGCCTCGAAGACCACGTTACGGATCTGCTTGACCAGCTCCTTCAGCACCTGGTTCTGCTGCCTCCGGTGGCTCTCGGCGAAGTCCTTGAGGAAGGCCTTGAAGAAGCTGAGGTCGTTGTAAAGGTACTCCACTTGGTCCTTCACCCCGTCGATTAGGCCCGCGTTGTAGAGGAGGAGCTGCTTTAGGTTTACCAGTAGGAACTCAACGGCGGCGTCGGCCATGGCTCTCGATGAGGAATTTCGTCGAGCAGGTGGTGGGCTGTCGGAGACTTGATTTTTCTGTTCTTTTTTTTTCCCTTTATTTTTGAAATTTCGTGTAGAGTCTCATTTCGAGAGACGGAGACCAGTGATTTAAATAAAGTTGTAGGACGCACATGAGTAAATTATAGACACATTTTCCAGCTAATAAAAATAAAAAAAATAAAATAAAATATAATTGTTCAAATATATTTTAATTTTGTGCGTGTTGCCTGTTGGTACTTGGTGGGGTAGTTTCTGAGAAAGTAAAAGAGGAATTTGCATCAAATGATTCCCCACTAACTAGTGGTGGCCCGTTTGATGGACGTCGTATATATGTAACAAGGTTGGCTCAAATAGTAAGCAGTTTGATGTCATTTAAGCAAGGTCGGTTTTCTAGCTGGCATGTTACTAGTTCCTGCCTACACAAGATCACCTCGGGTTCGAGTCCTTGTGGATACAAAAAACCCTTGTTGGGAGACTAACCCACCACTGTCAGGTGTGCGACCCGGGTCGACCAACGGATTAGTCGGAGCATAGCTCCGGATACCGTGGCTGACTACAAAAAAAAAATCATAAATTATTGAATACTTGCTTATATACAATATTTTTTGTTTGATTTGATGGCGAGTCATCATCATCGTAGACTAATAATATAAACAATTTCAGCATATAGATTCGAGAAAAAATCTATGGAATCATCGAATGATTTTCTTATAGAGTCATCAATCAGTTAATGTATTTACACATGTCTAAAATGTATTTATTGTAAGACACGTATCAATACACTATTTGTGAATAACTGTGGATGACTTCATAAGCCGAGCCATTCCGATAATGAATTATTAATTTGAATATTTATTTTGTATATTTATTCAATGATGATGATATATAGGGTACAAGTTTCACTTTAGACAATTTCTTTTTCTTTTTTTAATTTCTTCGAGTTCATGGAAATAGAATTGTAGTTTCTGCTAATCGTGTGTACATCCCAAATGGGAACAATATTTGGCGCGGTTATAACGTGTGTGCAGTATGCTGCTGGGTCTTTTTTTTTTTTTTTTTTTATAGGAATCTTTCGATTTCTGGATCTACAGGGGAACTGACTAATTCGGAATCGAGTCGGGTAGGACCACAAAGGGCGGCAAAGCTCTCCTTCAAGAGCTTTAACACTGCTGCATTCTCAGGGTTCGAACACGAGACCACTAGTTAAGCTGGAAGAGACCCAAGCCATCTCATCCATGTGTTCTTGAGTGAGTCTTTTCCTATTCATTTACATACTTTTTTCCCTAAGGGGTTGTTTGGTTTGAGGGATTTGGAGTGGAGGGGAGGAGAGGGAGAGGAGAATTTTAATTTTCACTTGTTTGGTTGCAAAATTAAGAGGGGAGGGAGAGAAAAATTTTAAGTGATTTTTCCTCCCCTCCCCTACTTTTTCTCCCCTCCAAAATTAGAGGGATTTGGAGGGGAAGTGATTTGTGATGATATAAAATTACATTTTAGCCCCTATTTTCAATTGTTTTTAAAATTTTATTTTATTTCATTAAGGGTAAATTTGTCATTTTAGTTTTATTTTCCCTTCTTCAACCAAACAAGGTTTACCATTTTCCCTTCCTTCCCCTCCTAAATAATCCATCCAAACAATGTAAAATTATTTTACATCACCTCCCTTCCCCTCTCTTTTCCTCCATTAAAATCCCTCCCCTCCCTTCCCCTCCATTGAACCAAACACACCCTAAGGGAAAAAATCTTTTTCACCCCATAACAAAGACAAATTACGTTTTTCACACCGCCTAATAAAAAGCTAAGTTTTTTACCCCAGAAAGTGCAAAGGTTATGCAAAAACTGTCGCATATTCATCGCATAACTGTCTGTAAGCAAAGGTTATGCGAAAAACTGTTGCATAACTGTCGCATATTCATTGCATATGGACAATTATGCGATGAATATGCAACAATTTTCGCATAACCTTCGTACTTTCAGGTGTGAAAAGCTTAGATTTTTATTGGGCGGTGTGAAACATAACAAGACTTCAAAACGGGATGAAAATAGATATTTTTACTTTTCCCTAATTTGTAAAAATTATTATATTTATTTTTAAACGAGAAATGCTACAGTCCCGTTACGCCATCATTCCAACGGAATTTATAACTGTTAGATCATTATGTAACCACCGTGGATAATTGATCTAACGATTAAAAGCCCCGACAGAGACTGTAAAATCTCCATATTTTCACAAAATATTGTTTTGCTTCTTGCTAATATATATTTCTCAATTTCCTGGAAATTACACTCAGTTCGCCCACATATTTGACCAAAAGTTTAAGAAAAATTCTCGAATAATTTTTTTATTTTTATTTTTAAATAAGACCATCTCTTGTTATCAAATAACCAATACCGCCATTACTTTATTATTATCTTTTTTAACAAACCACCAACGAAATAAAACTTTACAACCTAAATCCAATAAAAATGGACAAATAAATAAATAAATAAATAAATAAATAAATAAAAGACAATATGACAAAACAAACTCAAACTATGGCATAACAATGTTAGAAAAAAACCCGGTTAATAAAAATGATTCAATTTTGATCTATTTTTTTATGGCTAAAAAATTTATTTTGTTGAATTATATGTGCAGAATATTTAGTATATGTTGATGGTACTAAATATTGATTTTTACTGTGTGGGAAATAAATAATTAAAGTAATTTATTAAATGAGAATTAAAAGTTAGTTGTTAGATTAAAGATAATGCTATATGTACATAATATTGTACATAAAAGTGTACATAACACTCACATTAAGTGGAACTCACCAAAAATAAAAAATCAGGTAGACTCCACTCCATGTGAGAACTATGTACATCTCTATGTATATTTATTATGTACTTGTAGCATTTTTCGAGATTGAAAAGGTGAAAGAGTTCTTTGGCTTTTGCCTCTTTTCTTTGTACACAACTAACATTGAACTCTCATATTTGGATAACATTGTTTATTATGATAATAAGAGTTGGAGATGTTACAACAACTAAAATTATGCATCATGTATCAATGCTACCTTATGCCACATGCATGTGCGTGCCGGCTCAACTTGGCCTTAGCCTTGATCCTAGACAATTGGAATATGTACTAGACTTAAGTGACCTTAGACCATCTCCAGCCTTTATCTTTACTCTAGCGCGGACTTTACGCTACTCCAGAGTAGAGTTGAACATTCATCTCCAGTCATTATATCTACATTTTACTCTACCTCAAATATATTATTTTTTATTTCAAATAAATTGATATATATGTTTATTTAATTTTATATAAAATGTTAATAACTCTAATAATAAAAAAAAAAATTATTTATTTTTATTTCAAATGAATTTGGTATATATATATATATATGTATATTTAATTTTATTAAAAATGTTTATTATTTTATTTTGTTTTTATTTTGAATGATTAAAAAATTGCAAAATAAAATTATAATACATAAATAAATAAAAATCACAAAATTATTTAGCATAAAAAGTACATTGTACAAATTATTTAGCATAAAAAATACAATTACTAATACACATTATACAAAAAATACCAATAATAATACACAAAAAAAAAAAAAACTTGTAGCGTCGAGCTATCGTGCTGCGCCATACGATTTCCATCTAGCGCAACTTTGGCGCCGCATTGGAGGAGAAATCCTCGCTACTCCAGTGCAAAACACCAAATCTGGCGCAGCGTTGGAGTAGCTCTTAAACGACCTCTAGTGGTGTTAGCTTTAGATTTTGGGCCAATTGTTAATTTGTTTACTAACAGTTATACTTTTGTTTGAACTTTATTTTCATTTTAAATGAGAATCGTGATTAATCAAAAGCTTATGGTTGCACTTTATTCTACATAGTTTGTAGTATCACACTGAAGATTATATTATTAACTCTATAAAGTATAAATAATGTTCAAACTGTGATAACAATGAATAGGCTATTTCAATGGTATAATATGAAATTAGTTTGTCTTAACTATTGAATTATATTAGTAGACTTTGTGTGTATTGGAAATGACCCCAGAGTAAAATCAAATCTGTACTAACTTAATAAAAGAACCTAACCTCAGTTGTTATAGATGTTCGTGTTGAATATTTTGGTATAAATACACGGAAATCCTACAAACTGATATTTTTCAGTTCTTACAAATAATCTATAAAAATAGAAAATTACAATCGAACTGAAAAATAAAATATAACTGAATCTCGGAAAGATTTTAGCCGAGGCGAGTAAAACTCTTTCCGCAAGAAGAATACGCCTTGTGTGGCTGCTAACGGTTCAGACGTAACTTCCCCAAAGATACAACGGTAAACGTCTCTAAATCTGTAGCACACCAGATTTACGAGCACCGGCGAACTTGAACGGAGTTGAGAATTGAGCACTAAAAATAAAAATATATATCATAAAATAAATAAAAATATTATTTGTTTCTTCTCTTTTGATATTTTTATGTCCGATAATTGGGCATAAATCTATCTTTTCTATCACTTTTCTTTCCTCTTTCTTCCTCTCTCTTTTCTTTCTTATTTTTCGGTTTCTGCTCACTTCGTTTTTCCCTCAAATCTTTTTTTTCTTGCAGAACACATATATCTATATATATATACACATGGGAGCATATGTCATCGACTAATATTCCATCAACTCACCATTAATAAAAAGGTTATCATCAACTAATATTCCATCAACTAACCATTAATAAATATGGTTGACTTAATTAACAAATTAGTGTAGAGGTTGGAAGAATAAGAATCTATTTGTTGGAATATTAGTTGGAAATAATTGTTTACACTCACAATTTCTAACAATCCCCCACATGAGTGTAAATTAAATATACTATGTGCTCAATCGTCACAAAACTCTATTGCATCAGAAAAGGTAGCTTTTGGCTTTGAACCTTTCTTAGTAAACATCATCGGATGCACTGGCGGCCTAGTGGACATAATGCCTTGAACTAT